AGCCCGGGGGTCGCGGAGGAGCCCCGCGGGCGCTGGGCCGCTCCGGCCGCCTTTGTTGTGGCTGGGTCGGGTGGTTTTCCCGCGGGAGCCCCGGCGGGGTGCGGGAGGGCCCCGCCTGCCCAGCTCCGGGGAGGGCCTGCAGGGAGCGTAGGGGGGTCGCCCCGTGCAGCCGCAGGCACTGGGCGGCTCAGGGGCGGTGGGTCGGCTCGGCTTTTTCACCCCCGCGTTTTATTTTGATTTTTTATGCGGGTACTGATTTTGGCGGCAGCCTCGAGGTGTTGACCCTGCGGTGCGGCAGGGACACTGAAGTTACAGAACCCGACAGGTTTGTTCCCGGTGCGTCCCCGGGGACACGGGGGTCGTGGCTCTCGGAGGGTTCTGAACATAGTGTTGGGGGGATTTGCGGGGTTGCTGAAGTACCTGCCCCTTGTCTTGAGCGTGGTTTTCGCCCTGCAGTTCTGGGAGGTGGTCCACGCAAATGGAGAGGTTTGCATAGAGACCAGTCAGTAATGCTCGGTGCTGAAACCCTGTGTGATGTTCACCTTGAAAGATTAGGACTATAATTTCTAGCTGTGCCTGCATAGCGAAACACTTACGGAAGAGGTGCGGAGGACTATATGTATTTAATTTGGCCTATAGTTTCATAAATGATTTAACTGAATTTTTTTGGTTAACTAGAGTAACTTGCAAGATTTCAGTGTAGAGCTGTGACTCCTGGCCTTATTTTAATGACTGAATTTTGGTTTCTTGCTAATGTAGGTTTGTGATGAGGTCCATGTGTGTCCACATATTGGACCATGAAATTTTACTATGGAAAACAAGTGGTGGGTTTCCTGTTAAGAAAAGTAAATTTTGCATGTTTTAGCTAACAGAAGTTATTTTTCTCCACCAGAGCTGGGTTGCTGCCTGATGCCTGTGCATGCCTCTGTGCTCTGTTATGGCTGTACAGCTATAGGATATTCCTGAGCTCACAGACTCTGTGGATCCAGTCAGGCTCTGCAGAGAGCCAGCCTTATTGTATCCTTGGCACATTTTAGTGATAAGCTAGCAGTATCTTGAAGTAGGCTATGTAAACAAACTGTACAGTTTGCGTGAACTGACATTTCTGCAATATCTCACTCATCCTGTGCAATCTTTGTAGACATACAGCATTTGAAGATATGAGCTTACCTGCTGTGGGAACTGGTCAGTGGCAGTAAGCCAGCCAAGTCCATTTCTTTGCTTTTAGTTTATAGGCAGGCAGGCATTGTGTCCTGGAAGTGTGTCCATGTTAACATGGCATTGAGTCTTTGTTCCATGGCCCTGGTCAAAAAGTGCTGGCAGTCTAACTTTGGCTGCACGTTTGGACTCTGAATGGGTGTCTCCTCACTATGTGGTGCGGGTCTGTTGAGCTCAACTGGAGCCAGCTCTGGCTGGTGTTATCAACACCTTGTTGATAACTAGGTGTTTTGGGTAGAAGAATCTCTCAAATATCAGATTATAGGATAGTGAATGGTATTCTTCAGTTTGGTATGTGTTTCTAAGGAACTGGACACATTTGCTTTTCTAGTTTGTTGGGCAATTTTAGGCTGCTTGACTTGGAATAAAAATATTGTATGTTTTGGGTTTTGTGGTCATATTGCATCTCTTAGCCAGCTGATTACCTCGTTGAAGCAAGTTAAGCACAGTGCTGCTGGGACTTAATATCTTCAGCACCCACTTGAAAATGTATTACAACTATTCTATATCAAGGTTTAAGTAAGGGTTGGTGTGTCCAGCTCCCTACATCAAGATCACCTACTTGGTAGTACTGGTGCCACACAGTACTATGGGAAAAGAATGCTTATCTTTTTAATTCAGAATGGTAACAGAAAGATGCTAAGTAAAAAAAAAATAGTTCTTGATAATTTCAACCTTGACATAACAAGGCTATATTATCTTGTTGCATCTTGGTACAGGAGTGGTCTGAGAAGGTGATCTGACAGCCATCTGCGTGGCTACACAAACCGTGGTACTTAGCTCTGGTTTAGTGGAGCTAAA